GCCCACCCACACACACATATAAGTTATATGTGACTTAACTTTTCAACCATTTGATCTGAATTGACGGCTTGGATTGCTCGTCATAATGTCATGCCAAAACACAGTTTGATTTTAATTATTTTTTACAATAGTGTTTGGCTAAAGTTTGGGGTGTCCCATCTCTTTCTTAGGACACTTCGCAAAAAAATAAAACAAATGACCAAAATGGCTCCGAATTTTTAGGGGTATTTTGATATTTTTTATCACATAAAATACATTTTATTCTTTTATCATGTTTTCCCCTGTTAGATGTATGCATGTCCTAAATTTTGTGACAAAATGATTTATAGAATAAATACTAAAAATAAAACACTTTGAGCTGTCGGATCAAATTATGATGCTCAAGAACCAGATTGTGAAATTATGATTCAAGCCATCTCAACCATCTACCCAGATCTGACGGTTGAGATCATGGCCACACACACGTACACACGTTTGGAGTCACATAGAACATTTTTTTTTTACATTATTAGTCTATACTTTCCATAACCACGTCAATCAAAAAGCGATCTTGGCCCACCTGTAATCTGGCTTCTGTCGGCCAAGGAATTCCCGCAATACGACGACTTTATACCCTAGCGAAGGAAGCATATGGACCCCTCAGAATGTTATGATCAACATCATAGAATTCACCAAATAAATTGGCAATATCTTTAAGCATTAACATCCCACACATGAAGGGGAACACCCCAGAAACGAACCCAGGACAATTCCTTATTGATAAAGGAAGAATGCATCGCCAAACTCCAAATCATCAAAGTCATCAGAGACCCACGAACTCTATAAAACCTCTCCTTCCAAGCACTCACCACATCACGATCCGACCGCAGAATAAAAGCCACCCTACCACTACCTAAACGAAAAACGTCTGATAAATATGAGAGGTTCCATTCCCTCTTAGCCCAATCATCTAGACCAAAAGGATCTTCCAGGGGAGGACAAAAGGAACCTACCATGCTTCACCGAGCGCAAGTAACAACAACCTTAGAACCATTGAAAGTAACCTTTGGAATAAAGAACTCCATTAATACAAAACATCTCTATCTAAAGTAGAAAAAAAAGTCCCTCCATCCAGGAGAGGGAGACCGTCATGAAGCACCGTATTTCAGATCTCTCTCTCTTGGGTTTATTTTGATTTCATAAAGCCTAGGCCTTTTTCTTTTGGAGATTCTCTACTCTCAAAATTATATGACTATAGTAGAATTGTCTGGTGCATCCAAGCCCACATATGATATTATGTGGGCTTGGAGTTCTACACCATCACTAAAGAAAGTGTAAATCTACAACATAAAATCGTTGCATGAAAACCGTTTTTATTAGTATACAACCGTTGTATGAAATCTTTTCCCATTATACATTTCTTAAAAATAGGATTAAATTCTATTTCAAATGTAAATAATTAAAGGCCCTGCATCTCTACATGTGACTCCGTGGACTCATAGAAACGGTGTCCATATAACTATATACCGACTAGGAGAGTAGGGAGAAGGTGAAAAAGACCCTTTAGACCCCAAAACCTGTTATCAAGTTTTCATCCCTGAAATATAAATCAGCATATCAGATGCATCGGATTCTCAACCATCAATTTAAGTGGGATGACCAACCTGAAATTATATTCTCCAAATTTTGAATGAATTTTGAGAGGGCAGATTTTTTTAATAACTTCTATCTTATTAAAGAAAACGATTTTTAATAATTTCTATAAAAGAAACAAATATGTTTTAAAAATAGAATTTTACAAGCCGCAAAAATCAAGGGAGATATTCGAGCCCACAACACAATGGTTTACGCGCCGGAATACTAACCATGAAGCCCTTCATACATGAATGGATTAAATTTGACGTATTAGTATACATAACATTTAATAAAATGTTGTACAGTGTACTCATCTCGCCTCTAGGTCGAGGCCGAATTACTCGGCTGAGTCCGAGTGGCATCGGCCGAATTTTAAAACATTGGGCACAGGTAACGGTTCTAAAATAATATATTATTTTATTTTATTTTATTTAAAAATTGGGTTATAGATATTATTTATATAGGAAACCAAATAAAAATAATAAAAGTAATTTTCAACAAAAATTAACCAAATTACTTTTTAAAAGTATTTCAAGGGTATTTTGTTCAAAATATTTTACTATTATTATTATTATATAAAAATATAACTGTACCATATAAAAATATGCCTTTATTCTAAATATTAGATAAATATCATCTTAAATGAAAATAAAAATAAAATACAAAAATCTTTTTGTGCTGTTGGATGATACTGCATTCAATCTGAACCATTAAAAGGTACTTGTGCACGCTTCAAACATCCACATGATGTGAACGCTATACCATCCCAGACATCATTTAAGAGTAATGAAGGGGTTGTGTAGACCGTGATGTGGACCTAAATGACTAATACTTGACACTGGTCTGGTCACGTACGTCCACGCGCCTAATCATTTGTGTGTGTATGTATGGGTAAATGATTTTGTGAGCATACCGGGCAGTTGAACAGTTTGGGCCGGGTATCTCAGGTTCAATATTAGCATATGCAGTGGCAAACATCACATAGGCATTTTTCATTTTTAAATGTTTTTCAATAAATCCTTTTTAAATGTATATGCACGACCTAGGCACAGAAGAAAAATATTTAAAACATAATACACAAAATAAAAAATAATAAAAATACCCCCTCACCTGTAGGTTTAATTAAGTAGGCTGTAAAATTTGTTAAAGCTGGTCTTTCGGTCCAATAATGTGGCATAGGCCGGCATGCATGGGTCGTGAATAATAGTTTGCAAACGAATTTGTTAAGTTTCTCATGCCATATCGAAGAATATTCAAGATTTTATTAAAATCCAATTACTCATGTTTTTCATATTGAAAGGAGCAATTCCTGTCTATTTTAGTAGTTCAATAGTAGATGAAGTTGAGATGTAGTGTGCTAATGTCAATGGCTAACCTCTCGAGCCGTCTGAAATGAATTGTCTCAAGACTTCCTCCCTAAAAATTGCCGGACAATGGATTCTACACGGCCTGTATAGTTCAGGGCACTACATAATTATTATTGGAATGTCTAAAAATTTGAAAAGTGCTTGGTGCATGAGCTGTTAGACCATGCCTCTTGACATCACCCTTTGTTTACAATGAGCTATGCAAATCACACCTTAATTTCGATTTTCAGTTTGAATTTGCACCATTTATTTTAATGGATGGTGTAGATGTAAATGAAGGAAGTACAACAGCTCTATTCTATACGCGTCGAAACTAGACCATTTAAAAATGGGGAATTAGCACGAAACTTGGCGAGTTCGAGTTGACTTGCCGAGTCTTGAGTCTGGTTAGGCAATAGTTTATCAAAACTTCAGCCACCACTATGGTTTTTTTTTTCCCGAAATATTTGGGAAATTTATTAAAGACTTGGCCGTGTCTCAGGTTAAGTGAAAAGCTAATTTGGGTTAGATTTGCGCACTACTCTGTACTAGTAGAATAAAAACAAGTGACCCTGTTAAGCCTTGCAATCAAGTAGTTTTTTTTATTTCCTTTGGACACAAGTAGGGTGTTAAAGTAAAGCTAAATGCCCATTCGATTGTACAATCTCAGCAAGTTTTGAAATGATTTCTTGGTACGATTTCTATACTTCAGCAAGTTTATTTCCAGGTCCTCTTTGGTGTATTCCTGTGGCTTTAGAAAATCCTTAGCCTAAGAAATACATGTTCCAACTTAGCCTAAACAAACAAAAGGAAGAGAGAAAAGCAACATTTATTTCTCCATTTAATCCTCCCTTTGCGGTTTATGGCAGCATTTATCCAAAATAAAACAGTTTATTGCCAAGGAACGGCGCTAGTTTGTATAAGCTACGAATGTTACTCTCAACATTATTTTATAAAATGTTGGTTTGGATGAGGAATCGCCGAACTGGATGGGATTTGATGGGTGGGCATTTCAGGCTTATCTGGTTAAATTTGTTAAAGTGTATTTTCTGAAAACCATATTAGTTTTTATGTTATTTTATTATGAGGGATGTTGTATTTGTAAGTTTGTGTAATAAGAAGCTATGAAATAACTAGGTGGTTAGAAGTTATTATTGTAGGTTAGTAGTTACAGTTGTAATAGTTATTGAAGAAAATATGGTTGTAAAAAAACCTCTATTTAAAAGACATGTTTGTGGTGGGAACATTGGGTCATATGTATTAACGTTAATCTTGTGTGTTGAGATTGTAATGCCTTTATGCACCCCACGCTTTTCTTTAATAAAGTTTTTCTTCCACTTCATCTTAATTCTTCTTCTTATTTCTATTTGCTTGTGAGTCTTGGGCTAGAGTGGCATAGTCACACTAATTGAGAAGCGGATAGTTCCGGGATTGTGGCATCCGTCTTTCTTTGCATCTCCTTCCCAAAATCACATGGTTCTAAGTTGTCTTAGTATTTATTTTTTTCTTGTGTTTTCACCGATTAGGGTGACCTACATTGATCCAACTGGAGGCCAATCTGATGTTTAAAACATCAATCTCCAATGAATACAAAATTTTGCAATTTATGGCCAAGCAACAAACACTTTGGAGTCGATCCCCATACTTACCTGCACACATATACACAGTGCAAGAGCACACACATTGCAAGTTCACATCCAGTCGCTCTCGCGAGCAATCCTCTATCACTCTATGCAACACTAACCTACCTAGAGAGTGGAGGAACGCTTTTTATTTTTATTTTTTCTTCTTTATTGGATCAGCATGGAACATTTCTGGCCTAGCTTTCTGGTTCGAAGGTATCTGCCTCAAAACATGCTGAAGAAAAAAATGAGCACTTCCAAATAGAATAAGTTTATGTTACCTATGAATATCCATAAAGAAGTACAGAAAGGGAGCCCGGAAATTGGAGCGGGCTCATTTCCAAGCTTCTAGCAAAGGTGATGAGAGTGACACAAGTGCAGGGTTCCGATTCTCACCAAGTCCCAAGTTAACATTTAGAAGAAGAGTGATAGTATGAACTTAATTAAAATAATATAATAATGTATGCAAGAATATACTAAGGAACAAGATCACCATGTAAATGGTTTGATCAAACATAAATAACAACTAATAGAGATCCCGATAAATAATAAAAACTTACAAATTCCATTAAATAAGCACTCATCCAGGCCATCCGCCTCATCCGTCATGCCCACGTGTCAAACTCCCCTTGAACATCACCTTGGGACCCAACCCTGATACCTCCTTATCCTTACGCAACCGGCTCAACCGGTCGCCTTGCAGTGTCACCACGACGATCCTCCCAAAATCGCCCTCATCCGAAGGCAATACAAGCACCATCCCTTCGCCTACAACCGGCTCCACCCGGTAGGAGACATGTAAAGGCCGGTCACCCTCCGTGAAAACCGCATTGTAGGACATAACCCCCTCAAAGTTGGCAACCGTAAGTCCCGGCCCATAAATCGGAAAGGGGGACGAGGATCTTCCACTGTCCGATTTCCTGGCGGCAAGCCAATTTATCACTGACCAAATCTCCTCCTCCTTGGCCTTGTCCTGGTCCTCGTGTATGAGGCGAGCAGCTAAGGCAAGGCCCGAGTTGTATCTTGCTAGATTTGCCCGCTTCTCGGACACCTCGGAGAAGTGGAGAGCATTTCCGAAATACCCTTGCGGAAGTGGCACTTGCAAGAGCCTTCGAAACTCGGTGCACAAGCAGATGGACTCGGTGTACGAGTCAGTATGATGGGAACGTGTCGATGCAACCCAAAAGAGAGCGGCCAAAGCCTCGAATGGGGTGACTTGAAGTTTGGTTTCCTCTTCAATTTTCGAAATTAAGGTCCTTACTGACGAGGGAGGAAAGTGAAACGTCGCAGAGGGGTAGTTTTCGCCGAAATTTTGGGGGGTATTTTGGGCCGTCAATTTGGAATGAAGGAGATGAGTTGCGGGTGTATGGACGGTCAAGATTTGGGGGTTTGGTGAAAGGGCGTAGGCGTGGAAAAAGGGTGGTGTGGAGATGGCTTTTCGGCGATGGATTTCGGACCAGGCTTTGATGAGGAGGGTGGCGGAGGTGGGGTCCGCACTGAGGTGCGTGCAGCTCAGGCCTATGGCAAACCCTCCACCTTCGAACTGGGTTAGCTGTTTTACCATGAATGGGACAAATTTTTTTTTATTTTAGTAAAGGGATTACTGTGAGAGAGAGTACCTATAATAATAATAATAATAATAATAATAATAATAATAATAATAATAATAATAATAATAATAATAATAATAATAAAAGGAAAATTTTAGGCTAATCTTTAGAACGGTTTTGATTATTAGGCACTATGAGTTATAACCTTAAATAATCAAATTAAGGTGTACTTCCAAATTTTGTCATGAAATGTAATTTTGATATAAATTTTTTTTTTAGGATGGTGCGAGGATTTATTTTTATATCTAATTATAAAATTTTAAGTTCTTAAAACAGTTCAAATTATTCATATCTATAAACGCATGAAAATCTTGAAAATGGATGGTCTAGATAATATAATGCAAGATGTATTATTTTAGGAAAAAATTTATATAAGGTTGCAACATTAAAATGTAGAATTAGAAATCCACCTCAAAACTCCATCGGAAAATATTGTTTTAATGTTGAAAAAACCTCTAATTGATCATGTATGAATATGAAAGAAAAAAAAAATAGTCCCAAAAATAGTGCATCTTGCAATACATTATCTAGAACGTCCATTTTCAATATTTTCATATATTTATAGATCTGCTTGATTTTAACCATTTTGAGAGTTTAAAATTTTATAATTAATTATGAAAATAGACTTTGAGATAATTCTAAGAATCTTTTTCACTAAAATTACCTGTTATGATAAAATTTGAAGGTGCGCCTTAATTGGATTGTTTAAGGTTGCAACTTTATAGAAATCACACCCTTATTTTTAAGACTTGAAATCTATTTTTTTCTCTCTATATCTATACATCTCAATGTCGAAATGATCAAATGTATATTTTTTTTAATATCAAAACAACATTTTTTGAAAGATTTTAGAGGTGTACTTTAATTCTATATTTTAACGTGTCAACCTTATATAAACCTTTTTCTTTTGATTATCTAAGGATTGATAGGTAGGTCTTATAAGAAAGCTTTTTATATATTCCTTGCTTTGATTGTTTAGGCCCTCAACCTTATACCACTGCACCCAATAAATAATGTAAAAATATGTTACTATGTTAGGTTTATATTGTTGGATATGGTGATATCCAAATTAGCAACTTGAGGAAATTCCAAATTATGTGGAATTGAGATTGATATCGATAAATCAATTAAATAACATAGAAGTCCAAAAAACTTAGGATTATGGAATATATCTGTTAGTTCTTGAGATACATATAACACCTATAAGAAGTTTCCTATTTGATGTGGATTCCTAACCTTATATATATGAGATAAAAGTGTACAGAATTTGTGTACCCTATTTGGGTCACCATATGGGAAATGTGACTTCCCCTAGAGATAGAGGCAGCGCCTTTTTCGTATCGGCAAAGGCCTCCCCTTCGAGAGAATAGAGCTTCATACGAAGAGAAACACCATGGATGGGCCTCCTGTAGATTGAGAGGCAACACCCTGGATGTGCCTCCTGTAGATTGAAAGGCTAGTTTCTTGTAGATAAACGGTTCCCACGAAGATTTTGAGTGGTTTCCCTTATAGTGAGAGAAAGTCTCTGTTGCTTTCAAAGTTCTCCTCCTGGAAAGTAGTTTAGTTGTGGAATGGTGATAGTCTCTTTCTGGATAATTGTTTAGCTGTCGAATGGAAATAGTCTCTTTCTGGACAGTGGTTTAGCTGTGGAATGAAGACAATATCTTTCGAAATAGTGGTTTAGGTATGGAATGGAGATAGTCTCTTCTTGTACAATGTTTTAGCTGTGGAATCGAGATGAGAGGTCGAAGATGGTCTTGATCGGGATAATAGGTCTAAAAAGGTTTATTCAGCTTAATTTTGTTGAGGGTTAGAGAGGGAACTCTATGTCCTAAAATCTGTGATGTAACTTTCATTAGTATAATAGATTTCAGTTTGTCATGCCCATGGATGTTGCCCTCTTGAAGTGAACCACGTAAATCTTTGTATTCTTGTGGCGTGCGTATTTCATGTTTTATTTCTCGTATTATTACTCGTGCTCCCTCCTATTTTGTTTCTAGTTGGATAAGTGCACGATCTTGGTGGGATCCAACCTTTATTTTGTTTCTAACATATAAGTACACGATCTTGATGGGATCCAACTTTTGGGATTTCTGTTTCTGTATCTAAGAGGGTTCTTAAATCCTTACATATACTTTATACTTTTTGTGATGGTTTGTAGATTTTTATTATGATATTCCTTATTTTTCAATTTTTTTCTTTATTTTTTTGAATTTTAGCTACAAATAAATTTTTACTATAAACCCTCTTCTACACATATTTTTCTATTTTTGTTGTATTTTAATGTTAATTGTTTTTTCTTTATATTTTTATATCTTTTGTTATAATTTTAACAAATTATTATGCAACCTATTTTTGTAATTTGGAACCCTATTTGGGTTCATACACAACTTGGTTTAGTCGGATCGTGCAAGGACCGAGTCTAGAAGCCAAACCAAGTGCTTGCACATTGTTTTTGTTGTTTTTTTTTTTGTTTTTTCCTTGTAACCACCCATTTTGGAGATGGAAAGATATCATGCGCGTATTCATTTGGGTCTCATAAAATTTATTATTTTTGCTTCGGTTTTTCTCATATATCTATATATTCAATACGTTGAAGTTATCAAATGAGACATGTTCATGCTCATTTAAGTTCATATTAAATTTGGTATTCACGATCTCAGATCACCAGTTGCCGACCTTATCCTCATGGTCAGGGTCTTTACTCACTTTATGGGTCATTTTTTATCTCTCTATGAATAACAATTTCTAAAAGCGAATGTGTTGTGCTCCGTGGGAGAATATTGTGCATCTACTCCCTCGGTCAAAATACTAGTTTGATTTTTCTTTAATAAAATTTTGGGAGCTGTATAACAATTATTAGATTATTTTTTGAAGGGTTTGTTTACTGAGGCCATTTGTTTTTGGTACAAGTTATAATCACTTTTTTCCATTTGACATGAAATCCAATAAAAGGAAAATTGTTACAATATTAAAAAAATTTTGTTTTGGATTTTGTGCCTAAATAATAACACAATGTGACGTTGTCCTATTCAATCTTGAGGGATTAGTTTTTCTAGTACATACAAGGTTTAATTCAGAAATTTTTTCACTAAGATAATTTTATAAGTAACAGAGATTACATCCCACAATTTGAGATCTAAAAAGTATCCTGATTTGTTTGAGGGAGTAAATAAATAATTTTACTTCCACAGGAGTAGAAAACCTTACCAGCAGCTCAAAATATGCAAAAAGTTCAAAACTCAAAGTTGAGAATCTCAAAATTTTGCAATCAATGAGAAAGAAAACACATGAAACGCTTAGATGGAGAGAGACATAGCGATCGAGGGAGAGAGCAGCATGGATTTATAATGTGGGGAAAGGTTTCTATACTTCTCCTACAATAAAGAAGATCTATGCTTTCTTATTATCCAGCTCTTTAATTTTGATCAAGAGAGCAACTCACGGTTTGATCTTAGATTCGACGTCTCAAAATATTTTATTTTTAATTTTTTTATACAAATTGTAAGAATATAAAATTTGCTACGTGCTATCTTCTTATTGGGGAACACATATAAAAAAATATTAAAAATAATTTTCAAAAAAATATAATGACCAAAATACCCCTTAAAACTTTCAAAAGTATTTTGATCATTTTATTTTATTGAAAATATTATTTTTATATTTTTCGCTAGTGCGAGTTTAATAGAGGATAAAACGATCGGTGTCAAAATAGTTTATAAAAAAAAATTAAAAATAAAATAGTGTAGAGACATGATATTGTGAATAGGAATACCTTAGCCCTCCATTCAGAATGGAGGGTTGGATAAGGAAAAATATGGAGGGTTGGATAAAGAAAAGTATATAAGTTTTACGGTGTAGGGCAAGCATAAAAAGCTTGCCCCGCTCAAGAGGTGTTTTTTTGTTTGGGAGAACATTTGGTGATCCCACGTGATCAAAAAGAAATGGTGCTGCCCACATCATAGAGGCTCCAAATAGCCTCCAAACGCTCCTCAAGAAAAAAACTCGAATTAGATGGACCTCCCAAAAAGCTCAATGCCCCTTGGATCACCCTCGATTCAATTGAATATCTCGGATCCAATTAATCAATGGCGATATAATTGCAGCATTTTCGGAGTCTGAAATCTCTCTTTCCTGTTGAGAGAGTTTTTTTTTTTTGACGGTAATATAAAAAATACATCTATCTGACATACTATTCAACCCTTTTATCCAGTGTTTAAAAAAACGGCGAGTCAAATCGGAAATCGTCATGGACGGATCGAATCGGCGAAAAAAACGGGAATCGTTCGGTTCTAGAGAGAACCGGACGATTTTGTACAGTGACTCGCTGATTCGAGTCCCGTACGGTATTTTTTTTTTTTTTTGTTTTGTAATCCATGATAGATTTTTTTGTAATACTTGATCGATTTTTTTGTAATCCATGATCAAATTGTTTTTTTTTTTTGTAATCCATGATCGAATTTTTTGTTTTTTTTGTTTTTGTAACCCATTATAGAATTTTTTGTAATCCATGATCGAATTTTTCGAATCCATGATCGAAATGTTTGTTTTTTTTTCTTGCAATCCATGATTGAATTTTTTGTTTTTTTTTTTTTTTTAA